GACAGAGAAGGACCAGTGTAGAGCACAGAGGTCCAGACCAGGCTGGTGAACCACACAGAAACAGCTGACCTGAACATCCGGGAACTATTGCTTCCCAGTCTGATAGCTGGAATACCAGCATGGGACTGATCCAGACCCCAAGAACATGAGTTTCTGTGAGGAAACCTCAGAAATCTATGGGACCTCCTGTAAAAGCCCAGTATATATTCCCCAGCATGGGTGTGGACTTTGGGACCCCATTCCAAAAAAGGGAACCCCCGGGGGGCCAAGACAGGCGGGGGGGGGGTGTCCTAGGCCCTATCCCAAAGGATACAATAGACGGATGGGAGAAGGGAATTGGGATTGTCATGTAAAACAATCCTGTTTCTAATTCAAATAAAAAAGTTGAAAAAAAAAGAAATACTTTAGAAATTTAGAAATACTTCGGAAACATTGAGCATTTCAACAATGCTAAGCAAAGCTGGCATAAAATCCAGACACGGGATTCATGATCTTGAGCCAAAAAGAAATGAACCAAAAACATCCCAATTCCACACACATACTAAGAAAATCTGCAACAGCTACTACACAGCTTAGCTTGTTCTGCACTTCACTGCAAGATAAGAAAGTTTGACCTATGGAGGCATCCACTGGTGGATATTCACAGAGCAATAAGTGAGATATTCAGAGCCTCCCTCATGAAGTCTCAGAAAGACAATCCTGCAAAGCCACCAGGATGCTAACACAGCATCCATTAGATTAACCATGTTGCTTGTCAGAAAGTGCAAGAGCTTCTTCATAGGTAGCCCTGTTTCCAGGTTTATAGTACCAGGTTTATAGTACCAGATTACAATAGGCTATCTGCAGGTAGAGGAGTATAAAAAATAACTGTATTGTTTGATTGTTGGTGTTTGGTAGTGTATTAGTTGCTTTTCTATTGCTGTAACAAAATACTATGACCAAGGCAAGTTAAGAATGCATTTAATTGGACTTATGGTTTCAGAGGGTTACAGTCCATGTTAGCATAGGAAAGGCATGGCAGTAACTAGAATTAAGAGCAGAATTAAAGAGCATTCCAGGAATGGAACAAGTCATTTTAAGCCTCAAAGTCTGTCCCCTGTCTTCTGACATACATCCTTCAGAAAGACCACAGACCCTAATCCTCCTCAGATAGCCATTAACTACAAACCAAGCACTCAAATGCCTAAGACATATGGGGGGCATCTCATTCACACAACCCCAGTTAGTTTGATGGTCCTCATTGCACCCATGTAATTAGATTACACATGCTATATGATGCTTGAATATAAACTCAAGATCATTACAATGTCATGTAAGGATGCATTTACCTGTTCAGTTACTTAAGATCCAAGTCAGTTTTAATATCATAATAAACTCCAATAAATCTATCAACAAAAACACTTTATGAACTTGACTAAACCATACATGTTTCCTCCTAACATTTCATAACTTTGCCAGTGCAAGATTATCATCATGCCTATATTTGCTATTTATTTGTTTGTTTGCTTTTGAATACAGTAATACCATGATGTATTTAATCATAATACAAAGCACATTTGAACTGATGAAGTGTAAGTATGCTTTAAGTTACAAAAGGAGAAACAGTATGTGTTATACAAAAATCTATCTTTGGAATATATTTTCTTTACTTCATGTGATGTTCATTCATATCACATTGATAGACATCACTGTAGTTGATTAATGTGGGGCTCTTTAGTGTCTACTTTGTTACATTACATGACAACTCTACCATTGGTGGTAATATGGGCTGTTTATGCAGGGGAAATCTGTAACACAAATCTCATCCTACCAACTTCCTGCTAGTCATACATTTCTAATACCAAGTTGTTCCAAAATTAACCCACAAATTACAATCTTACATTATTTCAAATTATCATACTCCTTCCATCTCTATTAGACTCACTGGAATCTCCCTCTATCTTTTGCCCTTGACCATGGGAAATGTTTTTTCTACATCTGTATAGACCTTGTGCTTTTTTTTAGGTCATCTACCTGATGTTCTACTCAAATTCTTACTTGCATCCCTTTTCTGCCCTCTAAAAAGCCTATGTGTATCTATGCCACCTTCTACCTATTAGCCCAGAACTGTGCTGTGGAAGAGGCACACACACTACTGAGTTCTTTTGGATTCCATCCTTGATCTACCAAATTGATGTCCTCAGTGGCCTGAGGCTGCCTAGGAGTTAGCATATGCTTTGATCTACTTTCATCTTCCTTATTGAAGTTTAATACTGTCACTATTCCTGATTAATGGGACTGTGGTTCTTGAAATGTTGTATTTTAAAAATTGTTTAATAGGTGAACTAAAATTCCAGATTGGGAAACCAATCATGTGGCCAGGGGACCTACCCTCAGAAAGATGAGACTTTCTCTAGGAAGGCAGGTAGTAGGAACCAGGCGGAATAAGTATCCCTGTACTGAGATGATGTACTTTTACTTCCTCAAAACCCCTCCCCCAGCACAGTAGCTTACTGAGCCATGGTCACAAAAGCATTGTAATTCTGTCTTTTTTTTCTGAATTATTCAAGAAAAGCACTTCTTCCCCTTAGGTATTTCTATCTCTCTCTCTTTTTTCTAAACATGCTTTCCGATGGCTCAACTCAAATGGCATGCTCTTTCTCCCCTTTTTCATTCTCCTCTTTTGGGTTCCTGCTGGGATATAAACCTTGCCAGCCCTGAAGTTCTAAACGCCAATAAAATTTTCTGTAAGCTTCAAAAAAGGTATTCTATGAAAATAAGTTTGTGGATCAGTGAGCCAAATAGATCGTATGGCCCCTTCCAAGTACTGATGTCCTTTAGTTAAGAAGTAAGAGACGCTGGGCAGTGATGGTACATGCCTTTAATCCCATCACTTGAGAGGCAGAGAGAGGCAGACCTCTGTGAGTTTGAGGCCAGCCTGATCTACAGAGAGAGTTCCAGGACGGGCTCCAAAGCTACACATAGAAACCCTGTCTCAAAAAAGGGGGAAAAGAGGAAGAGACATGGAGGTCGTGTCATTTCATGGTTCAGCATGTAAGTCCTACAAGACAGCAAATCTGAGAAAGACACAAAATCTATAAGGTTTTCTCTGTAGGATCAATCACATAGAACTGCTATTTGTAATAAAAAAGGTCACTCATCAGCAATTTCACATAAATTGGTATTTTTAACTATATCATAGACTTGAAACTAATGAGGCAAGCACTGTTAGGATTTTACCAACCCATGCATTCTTCCTATAGGTTTCTCATTTAAAATATGTTTCTCTGTGTCTCTTGTAGACAGATGTAGACAATGACTGAGTTGTTGTAATTCAAGGAACTGGAATTACCATTTGCTGACTTCGAAATCTGGCTCATTGAAAGCTTTGACATACAACACCCAAAATTCTATATTCTTCAACAGTGACCTTGGCAATGTCAGGATAATTGTACAAAAGTGACCAGGCTACTGCCCTGAACTGCCTCTCAGAGGAAAGCCACCTATTAATCAAAAACATCAACTTTGGATTCTGCACAGATAGAGTAATGTCTACTCTATTGGAACAATGAGATTTGGGGATTTATCCATTATTGCAGCTAGTGTCATGAAGCTATATGGGCACTTGGTACTTATATAGGTACCTTCTATATAGGATAGAATGATGAATAAGTAAATGACAGAGGACACCATGTTGCTATTGTTGATGAGGAGGACAGTCCTCATGGACAAATGGTCCATAACATCAGGAGCTAGGAGGGTGGGTCAGGTTTTACTTGGCATTGGGCCAGGGAAACTCACCTCCTTCGTGCCATTGTCTTGGATGAGGGTGTAAAGTGGTACCACACGGTTAATCTCCAGAAGCACTGGTGTGGGGCTCAGCTGCTCTTTGCCTGGCCGGCGGCAAAGATGACAGGTAGATGGACATCGGCCCTTCTCCTCACATCGAATCTCCACGCCTGAGATGAGCTGGTCATCTGATAGCATCTGAGCTGTCAGTAGACCAGAGAGGTAGGTGATGAAGGGCATGGATTTCAGTTCCTTCTTGCTGCCCAGTTCCGTGGTCTCTAGAGGGTTATAAAAAAAATAAGCAGTAGCATAGGTCAATCTAATATTCTCTAAGTGGCTAAATTCCTAGGCCCATAAAGAGCATTTACTGAGGAGCTGGTACCTGTCAGAAAAGAACAGAGATAATAAATTGATTTGTTCGTGATGCTTTGGAAATGCCTTTGGAAAAGCCTAATGGTTAAAAGGACAGCATGATGTCTTGCCCTACTATTTATACTAGATAGTCTGTTGCTTTGTGTAGCCCTTATTTTCCACGTTATATTTGTAGGTCGCACAAAATGATTCTACAAGAAAGATGTAAATACTCAAAGATATTTTTCCCAACCAGAAATTCTCTTCTGTCTATCATCAACTTACACAAATTATACCCTTCTTTTAAGTCTGTGCTCCAGTTTTATATTTTCCATAAAACAATATAATGAAAGAAGTATGAGCATTTGGTCAAGTCAATTTTGGTTTAAATAACAGTTCTTCTTGCTAAAACTTCTCCAGCTTTTGTGGGGTGGGAGATCTCTTAATGTTCGGGCATTTGGGTCACTAGTTGTTTGAAGTGGGGTTAATAAACCAGTGAAATCAATTATAAGTGGCAAATGATATAGAAGATGGAGTCATCTGGAATGGCATTATTTACTCTTCTGATTGCTTACCTGTTCCACTGGGAAACTTCCTATCCTGCCCACTTTGTCAGGAGTTGCCTGGAGGTACTCTGGGCACACTCCATTACCATGCTTCTATTGTGGTCTGTACAATTAGTACTTCCTGTCTCTGTGTCTTTGCTCACTGTGTCTGGACTTTCTCTTCTGCCTCTGCAAATATTTTATAGCCATTAATTCTCTAATCTAATCTACTTCAAGAATCATTTCTTTATTGTCCTAGCTGATCTAGGTAGAGTGTCAGTTGGGGGGCAAGGGGGGGGGGGGGGGGGGGGGGATGAGGATGTTTCCTTAAAATTGCTTTCCTTTCATTTTCTCTGACTTCTTAAACCATATTTCCAACTTTTGATGACCTGGGCACTTGTCACCTGTCTACTTTTGTTATCTAACAGGATGCTGGGGATATGCTCGATACTCATAAAGGGAGCTTAGGAAACTATAAATGGGGGGAAATACACTCATGATCCAGTTTGGAGATCTTCTGTCTCCTCCAAACATGTGTCATACACATATAAACACATTACACCCGATAAAATTAATAGGGGCTATAGAGATGGATCAGCAATTAAGAGCACTTGCTGCTCCTGTAGGGGACCCAGATTCAGTTCCCAGTACCCACATTAGTGGCTCATAACCATCTGTGACACAAGTTTCATTGTATCCCAACTCCTCTTCTGGCCTTTCTGGGTATCAGGTACATGTGTTGTACACACACATATTTGTGGACCAACACTTATACACCTTAAGACAGACAGATAGATAGATAGATAGATAGATAGATAGATAGATAGATAGATAGATAAAACAAAATCCTAGGGAGTACCTCAGCAAAGTGCATCCACAGGACAAAAATTAATTAAACAGATAGGAGCTAATGCCTACCCACTTCTCAGCTTCAAATACAGCTTTTCCACTTTTATTTCTTTAGTAGACTGGCTTTCTATATAAAATTTTATACAAAAAATGGGGTCTCGGTGCTGTACCAGAAGCTTCAAGTTACACAGCAGTGAGTATGACCCACAGGATGACAGTATGTACTATGTGGATAGTGACTTCAAAAATGTGCAGGGTACAATACAAATGACAAAAAACAGAGGGACCCTACACTAAGGGACAGAGCATGGTCCTTCAGATGGCAGCTTCTACCAAGCCTGGAGAAGTGAAAGTAAATCCCTAAGTCGGTGGCTATTTGGGTCCTAGGCAGAAGGAAAACTAAGAGGTTTCTCCTGTTCTTGCTCTGGCTTGCAGTGACATGCAGCTGATCTGGGAATGGGCTTGCCAAGTAGGAATACAAATAAACTCAGCCTTCATTCATTACTCTTCCTGCCCTCATGTCTGGGATCTGGGCTCCACCTTTTCTGTCTGACTGTCAGCAAATGCATATGAGCCTTAGATCAAAGGCTCTGGGGGAGGAAGACAAGAGAATTCCAGCTAACCATTGCTTCAGAGGGATTAAAAAAGGGTAGTTACTAAGATAAACAAAACAAGGCTGTGAAAAAAGGCATCCCAGCAGCTGGGAAACTCGGAGAGTCATATACACACACAGGAGAAGAACATGGAAGAGAACAACCATTTGGATAGGTGATCGGGAAGAAATCCAAACAGTAAGAATATTATAATCTGTCCCAGAAGTTAGAATAGTGTAGTGCATGAGGCAAAGTCATTCCACTTCCTACTTTTTAAAATAAAGTTTTATTGAAAAATAGATATGCCCATTCATTATGTGTTATATTCATTATGTGTTATACTGGTAGAATTGATTAGTTACACTAAGGACTCTGTCTCCCACAAAAGCTAAAACATATGCTATATGTCTCTCTACAGGTTATCTTCAGCAACTACTGTGTGTGCATCTATTGCACTGAGTTTCAGATCCATGTGACTTACCTCTAGTAAGTATGGGAGTATGATGGATTAGGTAAAAATGTAAAACATTACAAACAATCAATACATCTGGACCATTGCTGTCCAAAGAGAAAAAGCATAGTGGGGTATCTTTGCTTCTAAAATTAAGACACAACAAACTATTTAAAGGACATCTATCAGAAACTCTTATAGAATATAATCCTCCTAATATAAACTAGGAGGATAGGTGTCTCATAAAGGAAAATGACCATCCAAGACCAAACAATGAATTGGTGAATTACTCTTATCTTCTACTTATTTGTCTTGTTCTTATGAGTTGGAGGACTAAGCCCAGGGCTATCAGGATTCCAGGTAAGTTTATCTGTTTGCTTGCTTTTAAGGCAGGAGGTTCTCAGGCTGGCTTTGAACTCATGTTCTTCCTCCTCTAATTCTCAAGTGCTGGGATTATCCCTCATGAGCCAGCCATTCTTGGTTAAATGTCCTGTAAATATTAAAATACAGAAGGCATGAGCACCTTGCCATATGCACCTAATTTATTTTGAAAGAAATATTACTTGGTGCTGAGGGTTTTAAAAACATCCCCTCATCAAACAAACATGTCTAGGCATCTTGTTAAAGATATAACTATCCATTTATTAGTCAAATAATCAATGGTCTTTGGTGCTCTGCATTGATCAATAAATCTTTAGCTTTTTCCATTCATTATCCTCTGTAAATGGGGTTAAAAGGTAACTCAGGCTAAAATCAGCAACACAGCAGCAGTGTAGCATTAACAGAGGACCCAAAGGGCTGGCTTTGCAAAAGGAGCATGCTTGGCATTCATTTAGTCCAATATTATGTTTTTAACAGGTAAGGAAATGGAAAACAAAATAGGAAGAGAGACCCATCTTTAGGTCCCATTCATAATTATGAACAATGATTCCTCTCTCAAAGGTTGTGCCATGCCTAAGTTATGATCTAGATGAGAGTTACAGCAGGGAAGACCATTAGCTACTCCATTAATTATCCTCTGTGTTCATTATTTCTCTGTAGACATTACAATTGTGAAAGCTAAGTTTCTGACCCAACCCCACCCTGTTGCTAACGTCATCTTTCCAAAAGGCAAACCGTGTAGCTCTCTCCTACTTAAAACTCTTCTGTGACACTTGCCTGCTCTTAAGATAGAGAACAAACTGTTAGAGTGGGCATACAGGGTGAGAGCTAGACACCCACTGTTCTCCAGTCTGATGTCTCAACTGCTCCACCTCATTGTCCTTTTATCAGCTGCAGTGACTGAATTCATTTCATGCACCCTATGTCTTTCAGTCCCTAGCACATGTTCCTCTTCCCACAAAATGCTTCTTTCCATCTCATTCCGGGGTCCTTGATTTCTCCTGGCTGACTTCTATTCATGACCCAGATCTTAATTCAAATATTAATTACTCAAAAAAAAATCCCTGGACTTCCTATATTATTCATGTATATTAAGGTTTTTTTTATTATACATCCTCATAGTGCCCTGGTTTCTGTGTCCTCTGTTTCAAGCAATATAAAGTCCATGAGGGAGAACTCAGTATCATTTCTGCTGATGTCCAGATCCACCTCACATAGTTCATGAACCATGACAGGATTTTAAAACTGCCCCCTCCCACCAATGTCTAGGAACTAATCCAAAGCCCCCCCCAACTCATGCTAAGGAAGCACTCCACTGAATTATATCCTAAGCACTCTTTTAAATTTTGTTTTGAGTTTGGGTCTCACAAGTTGCACAAGTTGGCCTTGATTTACTTTGTAATCCAGGAAGACCTGAAAAATGCAATCTAGTTACTTCAGACTTGCAAGTACTTGGGATCACAGGACCTTACCACTAGGTCTGGCTTCAAAAGTCCTTTCAATAAATGTTTGTAGCAAGCATAGTTTGCCCTGGCCACTGTGCTGGACTTTCAGAGTGTCATGAACACAGAGTCAGGATCTGGAGTCAGAAGCCTGACAAGTAATCAAGAATTGCAAGGGAGATATATGACCACCTGACAAAGTAAGAAGCATCTTTTCAAAGGAAAGCCAACAGATAAGGCAGTTGGTTAACTTCCCATGTTCTGACCTTAGGGTTTACATGTAGGCCTTTGCATTGAGGACATGAGAGAGTTGAGTTAAAACAGGCTGTCTTTAACAGGAAAAAGATAAAGCACATTTTGAAGAGAGTTACCCTCTGTTCACATTTCTCATCCCTCCAAACAATGCTTCCAAAATAGGATCATGTCTGGTTTCAAGCCTGGTTCAGTCCCAATGACACTACAACCCATTCATTTGAGAACCTGCCAAATGAACTCTCTTTTTTCTCTTCCCAAATTCCTGCTGGGTATTTTTTTTTTGCAAAAAAAAAAAAAAAAAAAAAAAAGCCTCTGTTGAAGTGACAACTCCTTGTTGGGAGAGCAGCCAAAGCTTTTCAGCAGGAGGTGATGGCACCATTTGCCCTCATGCAGAAAACAAAACAAAGGCAT